AAAAAAAACAAAAAAAAAACAAAAAGGGTTTTTTTCCCCTTAAAAAAAAAAAAAAAAAAAAAAAAAAAAACTAAGCTTTTCCAGAAAAACAAGAAACATACCACTTCCTTTCTCAAACTCCCCACTCTCTGTATTTACACACCATGCATCTACTACAATAGTTTTGATTGTTTATCTAGACAAATAAAAACAATATTTATATTCTCAGCTTCTAAATAAGAAAGACCCCTGATTCAGAGATTGCATTTGACTCTTAACCAAAGCCCATCCAGTTCACTAGAGGTCTTGGGCCAGGCAACAAGACGTCTGCATTCAAACATGCATCAGATTATTATTTTTCAGGCAAAACTGAAGATGCTGCTTTTTTTGATAAGGGAGTTTTTATTCTGCAGTGCCATTTCTGTTTGCTGAGGCTGCCTGCAGCAGTGTCATCTCATGGAGCAATAACATCGATTTCAAAGTAGGGCTGGGCGATGCAACTTAAAAATAAAGTCCAGATTTTATGATACCAAATCCAAATTTGATTTTTTTTCCTCACTTTTTCCTAAAAAGAAATCACAAAAGAGAAAATATTTCCAAAAATTCTCTTTTTATTTTAATCATTCCTTCTGTCAAAGCATCGATTGATAATGTGGCTGTTTGCAATACGTCATTGTCACTTTAACATTCAGCCAGTTAGATGAAGTTTCACTGCAGCAGATGTTCACATCTGACAGACTACAGTTACAAAGCTGCTAAAGGTCACAGAAAGCAATAATGCTACAGAGTCCAATGTGGTAATATTTTGCAGCCCTATTATTAACCATTTATTTCCTGAAGTCAAAGGTAAGGGCGCTCCGTTTGTGTAGACCAGCTCTGATCTCAGCAGTCACAGCTTGAATCAACATAGTACAGGCTAAACATACGGGGAAATACAATAACTTACTTTTTTTTTTGAGAGTTTTTCTTAAAGATATTTAGAAAAAGATAATGTCAGTGTGAACATTATTTCTGTCATCAGCAGCATATAGAAACCATACTTAGTTTATAAACTATATTTCTGGAATAACTAACTTTAGTAAATATTCTTCATAGCAACCCATCTGACACTTTGATAAAATAATTTTCCCACTCATGGTGTTATCCAGTAACAAAAAGTAACTCAAAAAAAAGAGGGTAATGCTTAATTTACCCTATGGAGGCAATTCTGGGTAAGTGATGCCCCCATCTGGTCAAACTGAGATGTTTCCATTTTGAGACCATAAATTGCAGTACTATTCTGAGTCTGAAGGTTGTGACAGATGTTATCCAACATCTGTCACAACCCCAGAATATCAAAGAGCTTTACATACACAGAGAGAATCACAGCTTATTAAAAAAAAAAGGGAGGGGATGGGAAAGAGAACAAATTCTGCTCCAGAATATTCACTATAACCAGAGTAAAGCTTATCGTTCTAAAACAGAAACATCCTTAAGATTAGTTTATCTTTGAGTTGCATCAGCACCGTGCCATCTGATTACTTATTTTTACTTTAATTTTTCAATTTTAGACAGGCCGGTTTATTCTGATATAGTAAAAATCATCATCAACTAAATTCTGGATCATTCATCAACTTGCAAGATTTTTTTTTTTTAAATGCAGTCACTGTGGCACAGTGCTCCAACTCAGATTTCTGCACATAGGCAGAAAAAAAAAAAAACTACACTTAAATCTTTGACGGCAGCAGTGCATGCAAAACGACTTTAAGGCTTGGTTTATGAGCGACAAAACAAAACATAAA